GGTGGTGGGGGTGGGGGTGGCGGTGGTGGTGGGGGTGGCGGTGGCGGTGGCGGTGGTAGTAGCAGTACCAGTAGCAGTACCAGTAGCAGTACCTGTAGCCGCAGCCGTAATAGCAGCAGCAGCAGCAGTGGTAGTAGCTGTGGTGTAGTAGCACTAGCCGTGGTGTAGTAGCTACAGCAGCAGCAACAGCAGTAGCAGCAGTACCAGCAGTAGCAATAGGAGTAGCACTTGCAGCAGCAGCAGTTGTTCTTGGTGCAATGGTAGTCATGGCGGTGGTAGGAGTATGCAGTAGTAGTAGTAGTAGTAGTAGTAGCAGTCTCGCCACTACTGCTACTGCTACTGCTATTGCGAGCTAGTGCCAGTGCTAATCGTACTTGTGCTAGTACTTGTACTCGTAGAGTCGTAGTGTCTGCATCCCGCCTGGGACCCGATCTCGATCAATGTCACATCCGGCTTACACTGTTCCCCAAGATGCAACCGCTTTTTGCAGGTGAAAACGTGGGCCTGCCTGCGATGCCAGGAAGGCATCGAAGCTGTCTGCGAGCCTGCGGACAAGCCCAGGCAACTGACTCTTTAAACACATTGAGTTGAAATCCTTGATGTGATGGCCCGGCGCATAGTGGCAAGAGACGGGTTGGGAGGGACGGGGCTTGGGGCTTTAAATGGGGCTTCGGCATCGGGCGATCCGTGAAAACATCCGAGACCAGCTATGTCAGGTTGCCGCCCCAGGCACAACGTGTACAGTACTCGTCTTAAATCATCTAGGGAGCTAAATAAATTCATGCTGCTGGAACCATGCCAAGTTGGAAGATTTGGAATGCAAGCATTTCGTGCCCAGTGGCTTCTTCACCATCTTCTTGTTCTTGTTCAGCTTCTTCAGGTCCTAGCGCACGTAAGCCAGCTGAGAAAGCCAGCACCCAGCCACCCCAGCCCTTGCACCAGAGTGCTCACTGCTCGGATGCATTAAAATGCGAGAAGTCTTTCTGTTCCGGCACTCCTCCACGCTCTTGAAGGGGATGTTGGCCTGAGCGACCGTCAGATCTGCAGCTGTGTCCGGGGGAGACTACGGCAAGAGGGAAGAACAGCTAAATTACTAAATGACGGGGCCATAGCTCGCATAAGTGTTCGACCTTGCTGACATCTGAGGAGCATGCGCGCTGCGCCTGCTCGCAGTGAACCGCATCTCCCAGCACACACACCTGTCACGTGGAGGTCAAGTCAAGAGCAGAAACTGCATCAAGATAGATAGCTGCAATGTCCCTACTCAGCAAATAGGCTGATACTCCCCAATTTCCATTGGCCTTCAAGCGCGGACGCGGCACGTGAGGAAGCTTGATGGTGCCTGCACAGATTCGTGCCGGTATGGTCCGAAAACATGCAGCTACTTTCTTGCATCAGCAAGATCCGCCGAGCAAGTTGGCCGAAACGATTGTAATCCCAAGAAAGCGCTGCAAAACAAAAAGCTCTGCCCGGTCCTGCGAAGCGCTTGTCTCGCTGGGTGTCGTAATCCTTGAGGCCGATCTGAAGCTCCACCTGGCAAAGTGACACAACCGAGAGGTTCGGGTACGCTTTAAGACTTATGATTATGACCTTGATTGTGGTTGGGCAACAGGGGCCCGGTTCGAAGGCTTTACACGTTGAAGGGCCAGAGACTTGCACCAAAGGTATGCTCCAGCTGCTACAGTTGAGGTTCAAGACAAAGCGGAGCCGCTTTGCTTCCGATGTCTCGAGTCCCTGAGTCTCCAGCTGTCTCGAGGAACTTTCGCTGCTTCTCCTTACTTCCTTCCAGGATCCCGGCCTTGGGTACTTCACAAGCCTTTTGGGGAGGACGGAAGACGCCGGAAGTCTCAAGCTGAGAGAAGATGCGACAGTGTCGCAGGTGCTTCGCCGCTGCTCCACATTGCAGACTCAACTACATCCCGAGGCTTCGACGATGCCTTTCTTCAAATTGTCGATGTTCAGCTTCGACATGCTGCCCGAGCCCCGCCGAGAAGCTCAACTGCCCACACCGCTGTTGAGCCAGCCCAGCCGTTCCCAACGTCAAGAGACAGTCCCGCAAAGTACCACTGCAACCTAAATGGGAGGGCTTCTAGTCTCGAAGAAGCTGAAACCAGCGATGCTTCAGGCTTATCGTAACGGAGTATCTCAGTGATCTTCACCGACTTTTCTCCAGCAGGCACCGGATCGGCGGAAAGCGGCGCAACAGAGCAGGAACGGTATGCTTCAAGCTGCTGGATCGGTAGAAGTTCTAACCGATTCTGACCTGGATATCTTTGGAAAGCTATCACAGATTCTATGTGCCGAATCCAGGTGACTTCTCAAAGAAGCGCCGCGGTGACGAGGACATTAGCCGGACCTTAGCCGCTCTCTGCTCTCTGAGCTCTCAGACGCGGGCTGGGCTGGGTCCCAAGCTGCCTCAGGCAGGCCGAAAAGAAAGGCGCCTCAGAGTCCACAGAAACCCACGAGAAGTCTTATTCTCCACATCCTGCATGGCTCTGTCTACGGCCTTGGGCCAGCAGGCCCTGGGCGAGGAGAAGCGAATAGCTTGGGCCAGGCCTCGCAAGGCGTCAACATAATTCAGATCACTGAACATGGCACATCGATTGAACATCCCAGGGCACACTGCGAGTGTTGCCTTCAAAGGGGCCTGCATAGAACATGGCATCACCGGGCTCCGTGCGACTCAGTCCGAGAACTCGCTAGCGCGCAGACAACGATGACAGCCACGTTGGCCGAGCTGTGCAGAATCGTGAGCATCAGTCGCCTAGTGCCGAAGCTTCACGATCTGTAACAGTGGGCAACATTTTTGGGTCGTCCGTCCCCAATGAATGTGAGACCAATCTCCCTGCCTCAGCAGCAGACCTGGCTTGGAGCTTGGAGTTGACGCACCCAAACAGCTTGTGAGGGGTCAGAGTCAGGGAGTCAGAGGTTGAGCCATGGCCACAGCTCGTTTCTGCCGCGACCTGCAGAATGCTCCTCGGAAGGCGCCGGGATTTTGAAAGCCTGGCCGGCAGTCACTGGGCAGCGTGCCATGCGGTCGCTAGCTGGGCCATACATGCGCCAAATGCCGTTGCTGGCGTACACGTGTCATGCTCGAGCCTCTCTCTCTCGCCGGGTAACCCGTACAAACTTGGTGCAGATTATGCTCAAACAACTAAACAATGAACAATGCGGCTCAATGTCAGCAAGCAGTGGCAAATTTGATTTCGGTATTGGATCGGTTTGCTAAGATGACTTTGCAGGGTTCTTGCAGTCATCTAGAAGCTGTCTTTCACCTTAGTCCCCCCTGCCCTTAGGGCCCCCCAGTGTTTCTGTGGATTCGAGTCGGCAGCCATTGGAACATCCCCATGTCACACTCTCTCTCGCTTGCTTGCTTGCTTGCTCGGCGTTTGGGGTTGGGGAGAAATCCCCTTCCCCTGCGCGCATGCGCTACGCCAAGGTCCTGTGTCTGTTTGTCGGCGTGAAACTTGAAGCTCAGCACCGGTAGGAACCAGGCCTATTCTCTCTCGCTCTCGCTCTCTCCCTCTCTCTCGCTCTTGTTCTTATCCCGCGCGCATTCTGCATCCGCCATAGGCAACGCTTTGGCCAAATCGGCCAAATAGCGCACACCTGAGACCTTTGCAAAAGACCTGGCCAAGTAACTACAAGCGCATTCTTTGAAACCCAATCGCCGGCTGACACATGCGGAATGGGCTCAACGAAAAGCACCGACAGTTGTTTCGCAACATATACATGGCGGTCGCTTCGCTTCCGCAACGTTTGAGATGCAAAACGCCTGGCCTGAAGCACCCGCGAAGCGTTTTGGAGACTTCCCAGGGCTGATACCTTCCGTCATCCCAATGGTGAGAAGTCAAAGCCGCTACCTTCTGGCCAGTCGGAGCTTCTGCAGAGGCCGAGGCCTGCGACAGTACCTGTAGAACTCCACCCTGGTATGGCCAAAGCCTGGCCGTGGCCGCCTCCTTCAGGGACAGTTACAAGAAAGAGAACCGAACTAGCATGTCAGTACATCGGAAGTATCAGGCTTCGCGAATCTTCGCGGCACTGCTCCTCACCGCCCATGGCCAAAAGGAGCGATGCCAGGCTGAAGCCTGCGAGGAGCACCTGGTGCACACATCACGGCAGTGCTGTTTCCACAGTTCGCAGCATCTGGAAGTCCAATGCTAGGTACCTGGTGGCTGCAGACTTGGCTGGAGCAATCAGTTCGACTTCGATGTGTGAAGGACCCCGAATCCACCGCTGTGGAAGAGCTTGCATCCCCGAAAATCCAAATCTAAGCTGTCAGAGCAGTGCCTGGCAAATGAAGCAGCAGGCCGCGGCAAAGACCTGTCCATGACGGTCAGCTACGGGACAGCCGCTGCCCAGAAGTGGCTTACCGCAGCAAATTGAAAGCAGGATCAGCTTTGGGATCGGCCGATGGCCTGCAACTTACAGTAAGAAATGGTTTCAGCTATGCAAAACCTGCCAAGACCAGGACTCGGACACACACACACACACACAAACACACAAGCAAGAGATTCGCGCTGGCTGGTAAATGAAGCCTCATGCAAGGTTCTGCGATTCTTTACTCTGCTTCCTGATCTTCACTCTACTTACTAACTACTGTAGCAAGTTGGTCACAGGCCTGGCATCTCCAGCACACAAGCAGCTGCTCTGCAATAGAAGCGTCAGACGGGTCCAGCAGAGTCAACTTGCTGACCTCAGACTACTGCTGGGAGTGTCGGCATGTCACGCACGATTGTTAGCACACCTGCACAATCCTCAATGTAGGAGCCTGCCTCTAGTTCCCAGGAAGGGGCTCGTCGACTACTTCCCACTGTTTCAGAAAAGGCCTGCATCTCATTTTGAAGTCCAACCCTCAACATTAAAGAAGTCATGTCGTCTGTCGTGCAAGAACGAGCCTGGATGGCTTGTCTGTGCTTCAATCATTACATGCATGCCACCCAATGAAGCTCGCGAAGACCAGGCATCACAAAGCAAAGCCCGTGGATCAACGCTACGGTAGCCAACAACAACAACAACACCGCTCCGGTCGCCTTCAGGCCCGCATTAAATAGAGCCGAAACTTGCCGGGTTCCGTGCATCGCTGTCGAGCAACACAAGCGACTGCAGGTTCAGCGCGGAGCTTCGACTGGACCTCGAGCGACCCAAGGAAGACAGCTGCAATTCTGCTGCTTCGCCGCATGCCTCAGGGTTGGTGCACCGAGTCCTCTGGCACGCAGTTCACCCCAAGTACAACTCTGCGAGTCAGGCTCAACGGAAATTGAAGTTAACACTTGCCGTTGTCCACCGCCGTCGTCGTCGTCGTCGTCGTAGTAGTAGTAGCAGCAGCAGCAGCAGTAGCAGTAACAGTAGCAGTAGCAGTAGCAGGAGCAGGAGCAGGAGCAGGCAGCAGGAGCAGCAGCAGCAGCAGCAGCAGCAGCAGCAGGAGCTGGAGCAGGAGCAGGAGCAGGAGCAGGAGCAGGAGCAGTAGCAGTAGGAGTAGGAGTAGGAGTAGGAGTAGGAGTAGGAGTAGGAGTAGGAGTAGTAGTAGTAGTAGTAGTAGTAGCAGCAGCAGCAGCAGCAGTAGTTGTTGTAGCAGTAGCAGCAGCAGCGAATGTCCTTCTCGGTCTCGTTCTTTGGCACCTATGATGCAGGCTATCATGCGAGCTATGCGACTGTGCATGCAAGCCGTTGTGTTCCGCCGCTCCCAGCCTGCTTTGCTGTTCATCGCTTGAATAGCCCGTCGGTTTGAGACAGACCTGCACGAAGATACCAGCCCATCGTCCTGCCGGCCCTTCCAACTTATGGAGAAGTCGTCCGCCTGAAACGGCGGTTGTCTCGAAGATCCTGCACATAGACTTCCTGCCGGGATCCTGAGCAAAACCCGCGCTGCATTCGATTATCCAACGCTGGCAACTCAGGACCACCCGCACTTCTTCGCCCATCATTCAAGGCCTAGAGGAACTCTTACAACTTGTACGCCTTGGGATGTCCAGGCTCCGGACGCCCTCGTGAGCCTCGCGGGGCCTGGAAGAAGACTTCGTTCGGGGGCAAGTGGAGGAAGTCTAATCACGCACCTAACTACGACGGCAAGCCCCATGCATGTTAGTCCGTGGCTTTCAGATATCCCCGAGACAGGAGCTGGTTCTTGCCTCACGCCTCCCAACACTGGACACAAAAAGTATCAACACGTCCTAGACTCCTAGACGATGAACATGTCTCGATCCTGCAAGGCGCAAATTCTTGCTTCGACTTTATGCTTCTGGTTTGGTCAGACTCTGGCGGTTGCACTCTTTCTCCTCGACTTATGGTGCTTCCCAATCAAGCCTAGCTTGCCTTGCATTTGTCGGCTGAGTCCGTCGGCGATGTGTCTAGCTACGAGCAGGCATCGGCTTCGATCTAGTCGAATCCATTCGCTGCTTGGCCAGTCCATGAGATGTAGTTCCAAGCTCAGCTATTGCCCATAGGTGACGGTTCATTTTGACGCACCTTGGTTTCATGTATACCCCGGCTGATACTCTTAGCTGTCCTTTGGCGACATGCCGTTCCTTCTAAGTTGAAGATGGGCCCCGGCCAAAGCATTCGACGGGCTGGCGGCAGGGGACGGCCGCATTTGTAAGGCCTGAAACGGAGCACAAGGCATGGCCATTCATGCTTCCAGCAGTAGCAACGAGATTCCAAACTGTTGCCACCTCGCAGTCCTCACTGTGAACCTGACGCTCGAAGCACACATGGCTTGGACTTCGCACCCTGGCCAGGCCTGGCCTGCAGCCGGTTCGGTGCTGTCGCAGCACGCGATGCATAGCCGCCGTAGCCGTAGCCCGGGCCCAGCGGGCCCAGAGTCGGTGGACTCAGCAGACTGGGCTCGTCTCTGTCATCTTCTAGCGCTTCACAGGGCATGACAGGGGGCCCAATGGCAAGTCTTCCATATATGATGCAGCGCTGCCACACCCCCCCCTCCCCCCCCACCCCCATGGTATCACCCCCCTTCCCCCCCCTCCCTGTGGGGTGGTGCCTGTGGT